TCTCAAACCATCTGATTAAACACAGCCCAAAAGGGGAACCAGTGATTGTAGTGGCGGGGGGGGGGGGGGTTGCTGAAGCGACCACTGTCATGTCTTCAGATCCAAATCTCACAGTCTCCCCTCTACAGGCTGACCATGAGGAAGCGAATACTATGCTGATTTTGCACTGCATCCATGCTCACATGAAGACTATGGTTGTGCCAGCAAGAGCTACTGATGTGCTTCTTCTACTTCTGGCACACTATGACAAAATGGGATGTATATCTCTATATGAAGGCTGGAACATCAAAAGCACCAAAGTATTTTCCAGTGCATGAAATTCAGAAGTTGCTATCCCCTAATCAACTGGACACACTACTCGCCTTCCATGGGGTCACTGGCTGTGATAGTGTGTCTCAGTTCAGTGGCCACAGTAAGAAAAAAGCCTGGCGTGTGTTGTTTCAATATCATCACACAGACCTCCCTGGCCTTGGCAAGGGCCCTCTAACAGAGGACATAGAGAGATCAACTGAGGCATTCATCTACAGGCTGTATGGTGTGCCTGAAGTGGACACTTGCAACAAAGCAAGAGTGAAGTTCTTTAGTGCAGGCCGCACACAGGAGACTCTGCCACCATCCTCAGATGCAGCCAAACTCCACATCATGAGGGCACACTATCAGGCCTATGTATGGAATCAAGCTCATGTGCCACACCCCGACCTCTCTCCAGTGAAATGGGACGGATGCTATTGTAGGGCTGCACGGTATATGCGGTAGACGGTAGAAATGATATAAATTTGGCCCACGGTAGAGATTTGCGCTCTACCGTCCTATCGTCGATGACGTCATTGCACCTGCCTCAGTGTGAAAATGGCTGCGAGCACAGAGACAGCGGAGCAAGAGGAGCTGGTTCACGTCCGTGATTTAGCGTAGCACGTGCAACATGTGTTGCTGGAGAACTTGTGAGTGAGTGAGTTAATGTTTTATGAACAGCCCCGGACTTCACAGGCTCTTTTAGCGACTTACCGCTCAGAGAGAACTCATTCAGTGTCTCCTCTGGCAGCAGCACAGCGTCTCTCCCTCTCCTCTCTCGCCGTGCGCACACGGGAGTTGGTTTTCAGCAAGAGAGTTTGTCATAAAGCTTTGGTAATGTAAACCTATGGGACACTAGGGGCTCCACAAAAAACTCCATATGTGAATGTGTGATAGTTGTGGTATCATAGCAGCCTGTCACAGGTTACAGCGTGATGATTAGAGGAGAAATGGCATAAAGGTCCAGGTGGAAAAAACACAACTCAGTCATTTAGGATTTTGCTAAAAGAAGGAAATTACCTTTTGATATAGATCCCAGGGGACATATTGCACCATAGAGTACTGGGTTTTAATTTTGAGTTTTGAGATCTGCATTCTGCACAATAAATGCTCTAAAAAATACATTATATCTTTGCTTTTGTTGTTGTTGTTGTTTTTTTAATCAATTTAGCTTTGCTAAGGGACTACAAAACCCATTCAGAAACACTTCTATTATAACTTTTACACTTAAATTTATACCTCGATATATACCGTTACCGTGAAGGGATTCGATTTATACCGTGATATGAATTTTAGGTCATACCGCCCAGCCCTATGCTCTTGGATGGTCATTTAGTGCCTTAGCTATCCTCTCTACCACCTATTCCAAAAGTACTGAGATCACCTTCTGTGCTTGTATCAAGGGGTGCCTGAGTCGATACTGCAGCTGCAGGGGAAGCGTAATGCGACTACATTTGTGTGCATGTGTGTGAGAGTCTGTGTGTGTGGTTGGGGTAGGGGTATGGGGCAACATTTTACCATAGTATAGCATATTGAAAATACAAAAATAACACCCAAAAATTAAAATATTCCAGTAAAAATCAGCAATTTCTTTGCCAAAAAACCACCAAGATTTTTACCTATATGAATTTTAAGCAGTTTTCCTACATTATATCATAAATTTGAATATGGAATTGAATTCCCCATATACGAAAACCCCCAAAAGACATTTTGCGCTGTTTTTTTTATCTGGTTTACATCAAAAGATAAGTCTTTAATTAGATTTCAGCCGGGCGATGGCGGCCATATTGGATTTTTCAATTTTGAGGCATTATGAGACATTTTTGCGCTGGGCATACAGCAGATTTGGATTCAGCACCATTGAAAATGTGCTTGAAAATAAGCACATTTTCTGAAATTCTGCCTTGTCCATTATGTTTCTACAACGCTGTAGTTAGGGCTGCTCAAAAAAATCCTAATCACGATTATTTTGGTCAAAATTGAAATCACGATTATGCAAACGATTATGGGGCGCACGTGATGACTTATATTGTTTACATGACGGCATGTCAATTCTGTCTCTACATGGTCGCATGTTTACAATTCTCCTCTGCTCCCTGTATCGCACACGGCAGAGCTTGGCCCTGATGTGCACAGCCTTAGTTGTAGTTGACGTGTAGTAAGGTTAGCCCAAAATCATGTTTAAGGTTAATATAACTGCTTTTTGTGGCACTATCAGGTCGCATTTGTTGGCTGTCACTAGAAACAAAGCGATGACTCACTAGAACACATCTATCAGCTGTGATAGCCAGTACACAGACACAAAGACACACAGACACACAGACACAAAGACACACAGACACACAGACTCATGCAGACACACACATGCACAATGTATTGGTTATTCAGTCACTACAAAATATGCATGTCACAGATTCCATAGATACACATTCCTGGAAGGTAGTCAACCTTATGTTAAAGCAACGCCTCAACCCGGCACTGACATCATGTCTTTCTGGGTGTTGTCAGGTCAGGTTTTCTCACAAGCTACATTATGCATACTACATATATTTGTTTCACCCAAATTTTTGCATTTTCTCCCTCCTTTGATATCTCTGAGTTACCTCACCTGAGCTTTCCTGTGATAAACAGCCTTTTACTGTGAATTAGACTTTTAAATAGATAGAATAAGAATTCTCAATTTTAACCTGAGCCTGATGGGCCTGAAAAGCCCGACAGGTCGGACCAGGTTTGGGCCAAAAATGTAAGCTGATTGGCCAGGTCAGGACGGGCTCGGGCTGTGGGGGAAAAAAAAACATTTTCTGTACCAGGCTGTTATCATGGTTATTTCTGCGGTGAGGCTGGGCATTTTAACAAAGGGGTCTGTGGGGACTGACTCGCTGTTAAAAACAAGTAGTCATTCGAGGACCTGCAGTTTTCGGCACGTTGGCACACTTTGTGAAATAAAATTTTAAGTAAATGAAAATGGAATGCATTTACTTGCAGACCCTTTTCAACCTTTATTTAATTGACTACAGTACAAAGATAAGATATTTAATGTTTAATCTGATCAACTTTACTGTTTTTCAAAGTCATTCTGAATTTGATGCCTGCAGTTGGGTATATTAAAAATTAGGAAGTCTGTCACATGCGAGTATACAATAAATTAACATATTCTTTATTTCAGAGGATAGTGAAGGCTTTCTTTATATTGCCACTGTAACAGAAAGATTCATTTGTCAGTCTAAAGGTGTATTTATTTTTGTTCCATCCAACAATATTTTAACTTTGACACAATCCAAGAGAATCCTTTTATCAGGGACATTTTGGTCCCAGGGTCTCAGGTTAGGTCTTACACATAGTAGTAATGGCTGGATGTAGGCATATATCAGTATAGAACATTTTTAGGTTCACATAAAGATAGGTTAGTGTTTGAGAATTTCTGCAGTTTCATTGTGAATTAACAATTGGTATTAACAGCAGCAAACTACTGAGTAATCTTCAAATGGCCCCCAAAAATCACACTTTGTGAATATCTAATAAATGATCTATTTGTGTTTACACTGATGTGGTATTGGGAACTTGCACTTTTCATGTTTTTATTTTTAAGAAAAGCACACCACCCTAACTATTTTATTTATCTTCCTATCATTTAGAAAATCAGTTTTGATGTCAATGATATCATTTTAGTCTAAAATAAAGATAAAATGAAAATATTATTAAAAATAAAAGGAAAAAACTCAATAGATACTCAACCTGCTTTGGGAAATAATATAGGCAAATATAAAGCAAACATTTTGCAAGGCTCTCTTCCTCCCTCTCTCCTTCTCAGTATATGTGTGTCCATAGGCATAAACTGCCATTCAGGTCTTTAATAATTAAAGAAATAACTTTGTGGTACTGAAATCAAAATAAGCTTCAAAGCTGTTGTGATAAAGTTGGTCTCCCTCTCAGGTTTAGTGTCAGCGTAGCATGGCGGGAAAAGTGCTTTCCCACACACACTCAGCCTTGTAAATGTTAAGCAGTATGAGATTTAGGGATGCAAGATAATACCTGTACATCATCGGTATCAATATGAGCTTTAAAATGAACTATTAGAATCAGCCAGCATGCTTTTTCTTATATGCACTATGAATAAATATTACATATGATAAGGCATTCTGTTTCAAGTCTCTATCTGCACCTTAAGAGTATGCATGCATAATGAGGTTAATTCCACTACAGAAGAGACTTGAAGATCACTAAAGGAAAAAGTGGATAATATATTGACATCTGTTTCAGCATATCAGATACTGGCAAAACATCCAATATTACTCCCTAATAAGAGTCCACCACAGCTTCATGACACAAAATCCATTTGTAACAGCTAAATACTGCCCCACTGTGCATCAACTGCACATCATACATACCAGCAACACCATGAAGGCAAACAGTAGGCACAGAGGGTTGTGGTGACAATCATCACACTCAATCATCTTATGTATTTTATACTTATGTGTGAATTGAATAAAACTGCCTAAATTGGCACTAGATTATTACAGATCAATCATATTGACCACCATAACAGCAGATGTGACTTGTGAAGTGCAGTTTATGATAACACTGTAGTTATAGAGATGAAATACTGCCCATCAATAGAGAAGAAATCAGGCTCGACAGAAAACCCAATTAACACACACCCAGTCACAAAACAAGCCTCATACAGCACAGTTAATTAGTGCAGGTCCTACCTTTAGATGAGCTTCTTTATTAATCTTCTGCCTGAATTGTGATGGACTCCTCAAAGGTCGTTGTATTTTCCTTAAAAAAAAAAAAAACAATGCGGCGAATAAACCGCTCTCGGAGGTGTTAAGGAGGGACGCCATGTTATTCCTCCAACGCATCTGTTCAGAAGATGTCCCTTAAATTGCTCTCCATGGTTCAGGTTCTGTAGATAACATTACCGTAACCCTGTTGCCAACTGACGGCCAAAAAAAGGTAAACTGACCCGTCGCCATTTTGGTTGCAGTTGTCCTTCAATATTAACACCTTCGTCTTCTTGTCACTCTTGTGTTTGCTCTGTGCTCCCCTGCGCAGAGTAAAAAAAATAATCCGCTTTGTCCTGAAAACAGTCTCCAGTGTTGGCGGTGAAACTTCATATTCCCCGATATCACCGTTATCTTCCTGCTGCTCACTGACAACCGTTACCGGTGGTACTTTCAAACAGCTAGGAGTTACCGTTGTAGCTAACTAAGCCGTGTCGCTTGTTAGCTCAATTAAGCTAGCTGGTGGTGCTAGCTTTGATATAAAATGGTCTTATATGAGACAGAAGTTAAAAGTATAACACCACTGAAGGGGAACTGAAGTTGTCCGCAACATTTTAAGTAAATTCGCGCGGGTGTCAGTCAGGTGGACGGAAATAAAAACACTCACAGCTTTTCAATTAGGAGCTCACACTAGTACGCACTTCTGCCCTTGTGATGACGTAACAGCTACGTCGCACGGAGGCCGCTTAGAGCGGAAGGAAAGCGGGAGGGGGCGGGGCGAGTATTTAAATAATGCTAATCTACACTTGGGGTGCGTTCCAAATCGTATATTTTTTCTTTTTAATTTCAGTGGACACTGCAGCTGCCCTTAAAAAGTACTATAATAAATTTTAGTTGTTTACTATAAAGAGTAGCTTAGCTTGAGTATCATACAAAAATACCCCTTACTGAAAATACAAATTTATGTTTGCCCCCTCACACAAGAAGCTACGGAGACTGGGAGGTGACATGCATATGTTATTTTTTTTTAAAACGCACACGTGCTTTATAAAACGCGCACGCGATTTATCACTATTTCGCTGGCTATCAGCGCGTCATACTCCCACCAACTGCAGCAGGACGACGGACATCAAGAGGACAGATACCATTAATTCATTGTGTAGTCCATTGTTTTACATGTTTGACATGTATGTTCTTATACTGTGGTTCTGGCAGAAGCATCTAGGTTTTGTAACCTGGATTTGAGTGTAGCTTTTCAGTATACAATTTTCAATTTTATTTATAAAGCCCAATATCACAAATCACAATTTGCCTCACAGGGCTTTACAGCATACGACATCCCTCTGTCCTTTGGACCCTCACAGCTGATCAGGAAAAACTCCCCAAAAAACCTTTAACGGGGTAAAAAATGGTAGAAACCTCCGGAAGAGCAACTGAGGAGGGATCCCTCTTCCAGGACGGACAGATGTGCAATAGATGTCGTACAGAACAGATCAGCATAATAAATTAACAGTAATCCGTATGACACAATGAGACAGAAAGAGAGAGAGAGAGAGAGAGAGAGAGAGAGAGAGAGAGAGAGAGAGACGGTAATGACAACAACATAAAAAAAAGTAATAATATTATAAATGTAATTCTGGCTATTGTGGTACAATATGTTGAAAAAAACTTTAATATGACATATTGATGTTTCTTTATTTCTTCACTCTTCCCTCATCATTCACATTAATCAGGTCCACCTGAGCATTTAAAACAAACACTTCCTTCTGCTCCATAGCTTTCCCTCTTCCAAATGGCCCAATATTGCACGCACAGCCTTCTAAACTATTGTTTTCATAAAAAAAAACAAAAAACTCGCGAGCACATTTTATAAAACGTGCACGTGCATTTTAAAAAAAAATAACATATGCATGTCACCTCCCGGTCTCCGTACGAAGCCCCACAAGGGTCAATCAATATAAAACTCCATGCTAGTCATCCCACGTCCCTAAAACACACAGCACTGCAAGTGAGTTAGGATAAACTTTGCTCACACTTTAAGAATAACAGTGCACACAGTACTTAGATGACAGCAAATGAGCCCACTGCACACACTACTGGTACACAATAACAAAATGCACAGCAATCAATAGCTGTGTCACAATTCAGGGGCTGCAGCCTTTGAAGGACGCGGTCTTCGCGGTCGACGTCGGTAACATCCTTTGAAAAATGCATCAGCCAAAACCAAACGGTCTCTGAAATGGGACGGTCTGGTCTGTGGAGGAATTCCTGGTTGCATCACCAATTGCTCTCGCCCCTACCCGTTAGCGTTCCTGCTACTTAGCAACCAGCTGTGCTTGACGAAAGAAGAAGTAAGATATATATATTTTAGTTAATACTTGAGAAGATGATTCACCACCAGAGACACCGTCATTCAGCATTGCCAGGTGGGAAATGTGGGATTATCGTACCAGAGACTCCAAAGTATCGTATTTTGAGGGTAATTATTGTACATCCGTCATAACCAAAATAACAATCCTACTGATGCTCTATAGGCAAATATAGTCACTCTTCTTCTTCTTCTGTTTGGAATCTCATTCTCGCTCGACTTCCTGATGGGTCCTAGCGTCTCGTGGGGCGGGTACAGCTGACCATTCAGCCAATCATCCTAAGTGTTCAGAGACAAACGTCACCCGTATCTCACGCTAAGCAAAGTGCGATTGGCTGGAAACATGTCACATGGGAACAGATGCCTTCAGGGCTCACAAAAAAACTCTGGCATACTGATTACAACCACACATTCATGAAATGGTCAAATTATCGTACATTTGGCCTTTTTGGGATTATTGATCGTACATCGTACAGAGGGCCAAAATGTCGTACAAATATGATAATTATCGTACACCTGGCAACGCTGCCGTCATTTGATATATTTCAAGCTGTTTTTAGATTAACTTAATTAAAGCAACACAATGGAGGATTGCGCTTTTTACCTCACGGGGTCCCCCTACAGACGAAAAACGGTATTGTCTGTTAGAACTGTCGCAAAAATTTTCAGAACAGGTAAAGTAGCCTTATAGCATTTTGTACATACGTGATTAGGCCAATTGCTTTATTTATTTATTTATTTTCGAAACTCAGAAATGAGTTGCTCTCTGCATGTCAGGGCTTACCTCCTCCTCAAAGCACGTGCACGCACACACACACACATTTACTTAAAGCTGTGAGAGAAGGACATAAAGCAGACACATTTCTGACAGTTCGACTCAAACAGCTGGATTTCCGCTCCATCCGAAAGAAATTTGCTTTTAATAGTTGGGGGGTGAATGAAACGTATTATCCCTTGATGCTGACATGTGATGTAGCCAAGTGTCTGTCTGATATCCTGAGTCACTGTGGTCACATTTAACTCCAGCACTGTTTAAAGTGGAAACAGTGTCGTGTGTTACTGTTTACACCACACTGACAGAGAGAAAGAGAGACAGAGAGAGAGATTAAAACAAAGAATTCATAAAAAGAGAGAGACACAGAGAAAGTTAAAATTTATGAAGTGAGAACGATTCAACACAGACTACATGAGTCTGACAGAAGGAAAAAATAGCTGTTTTCCTGGCAGTGCTTTCTAGAGAAAAACAAAGAGATGTCAAAGGTGGATTTAACCATTCTCCTCTCAGTACTCAGGATACGTCTCATACTGTACATATATATAAATTAATTTTGTTCGCTCTTATAAATACTTGGGTCTTTATGTAGATGAGTACATGAATTTTGTTCAAGGCACAACAGTCTTTTCTGAATCGGCAGGTAGAGCACTAGGGGGAGTTATTGGTTAAATTAAGATACTCAAAGATATTGGTTTCCTTACATATACCAAACTTTTTCAGGCTTGTGTCTGTCCAGGGCTGGACTACAGGGCCGGGATCTGGGGTCATGGTGGTTATCCTAAGAGTGCAGCTGTACATAATCGGGCCATTCGATATTTTTTGGGTGTGCACAGATATATTCCAATGCTGGGGGTCACAGGGGATACGAGCTGGGAACCCAGTGAAGTCCTTTGGAAGGTTTGGGCTGCCAGATTATGGAATAGGTTACTCAATATGGATGATAATAGATTAGCAAAAAAAATATTCAAATGGGATATACAACGGAATGGACCTTGGAAAATGGACATGTGTGATTCGTTTTGTAAATATGGATATGAACAAGTATTCCTCAGAACAGAGAAAACTGACATTGTGACTTTAAAGGAAAGGCTGCTTTATGAGTTTCAACAACAGTGGGCAGATGAGATTTGGAGTAAACCAAAGCTACGTACCTACTGTGACATAAAATATGAGTACTTTACTGAAAACTAGTATGTTCTGTATAACCTGTCAAAGAAACAAAGATCACTCTGTGCACAGATTAGAGCAGGCATATTGCCACTTCATATTGAAACTGGGAGGTATGTAGGGTTGGAAGAAGACAGTCCAATCTGCCCAATGTGTGACCTTAAAGAAGTAGAAAATGTGTATCATTTTGTCTTGTACTGTCCTTTTTATTGGAAGATCCGCGAGGAGTTGTTTAGTAATACAAAGATTAAGGTAGATTGGATAAATGCGACTGACTTGACTCTCCTCAAGGGGATTAATAAAGTACCTACCTACCTTGAGCAGCACAACTGGAAATTTAACTTATGTAATGAAATATGAAATGTATATTGTTATTTTGTTTTGCAAAGGTGTCATATAATCCCGTGGGGGATGGGCCACTAGGTGGCATGACACTAAAATAAAATAAAATCATTCATCATTCATATATACTGTCCATAATGTATACGGGATACATGTCAGGAGTGCCCTTGTTCAGATGAGGGTTCATTTTAATACCCAGAACACATTAAAGACAAATGTAGAAACCAAAAAGGAACATAGTGACACAAGCAGCAACCTCAGAACCAATCACCTATCGGTCTGATGACAATAAGCGTCTGAGGGCAATGGACAATATTTTCAGGTCTGGTGTCCCCAGCAGATATAAGGATAAGGGTTAGATATCTGTGCCAAGACTTCCTTTTCTGTGTGTCGGGCATTATTTTAAGTCTGATTAGCAACTTTTTGTAGGTCCAGACGACATTTGGGCTAATCTATATACACAGATATCTGCATATGAATGCAGATTAAATTTTAAAAAAGCTAATATAAAGCTAAATCATCGTCAGACATACACTATTCAAACTAAAAATGTAAACAAGCACTTAAATCTTGTAACGTTAGCAACAGATTCTGCATTCATATTTAATAAGGATGCATCTCTTGTGAAAGTGCGGGCCAGTGCTGATGCTGTTTATTTCCCCTTTTGTGCCAGGAAAACATCCTCATTCTAAAAAAATAATACTACACTGCACTTCCTTTGAATAAGCACAAATTCAATTATATTTTTAAAATATCCTTTTTTCACATGAAAAACATATTAAAAACTGCATCAAAGTCCTTTTCACTATGTATGATATATCATAACTCCCTGTCTAATATTTATTCTATACTGCGGTGAAAACATCAACAATTTATTCACACTTCTCACCAAAAACTACATTTTACAAGATGACATTAAACACCTCAAGAGTACGCTATAATTTACTTTGCCCAGTACTAATTTTTAAGGAGTACAGTATGAATGCATCATAACGTAACTCAGTGCAACCTCCACCTACCAACGCCAGCTGGTCAAGCACTGGGCTCCTGAGTGAAAGTCCATGGTTTGTTGGACCCATCCACCAACACCTCCCGCCCACTGTAAAGGGACTTTACAGATCTTTATATTACATTGTTACAGAGTTTCAAACTGACACCATCCAGCGGCTCATCATATTACTGCAACAACCTCCGTCTGGTTGTGTTATGAACCGACACTGCCCCTACGCATGTCATACTACTGCGATAGTGCCATCTGGCCAAACAGCAGCGTATCATATCACTGCAAAAGGTTCCCATCAGCTGTGTCACAAACTGATGCCACCTAGCAGTGTATCATAACATCGTGAAAGCTTTTGGTGTTGGTGTCTGGCCACCAGTCACCCTATTGCGGGCCAGATTTGGCCCACAGGCTGCAACCTGAATATCACTGTCCTACGCGCATGGCACATGGGAGTCAGTTGCAATCTGCAAATCATCGCTAGATGCCACTAAATCCTCCACACAAGACCTTTAACTCTGCTTTCATCTCTGGTTTGGTCTCCACCAGCACCTAAAACATCTTTAGCTGCAAGATGCTCCACCTCCTTCACCAGCTAGTGGCTAACTCTCTGTCTGCTGTTCTGTGCTGGGCATTTAGTTGCAGGAAGGTTGCACTCTACTGGTTTTTTAAAGCCCTGACAAAGACCTGCAGTGGTCGAAACATGTTGGCTCTTTTATGATTTTGCCACTACAATAAAGGGTTTTAATATTTGCCTGGATTGTCTTCCTGCTGTTTCCTGTTCTCCATGAGGTTTTGATCTACTTTTGTATATTCAGAGCAAACAGTCGTCTCTCTCTGTTTCTAGGTTGCACTCTTTGTTTGCATTAATCATTCATTTGAATTGTTGTTAATATAAAAACATTGATTAATGCATTCATTTTGCTTCTTGTTTGGAGATGCATCCATCTTACTGTAAAGCAGCCACTCAGTGTCTGCTGCGATGCGTCATCACCCTGCTGGTGCATTTATAGCCAGCTCAGCAGATTGAATCTCTGACCTTTTCTGACAAGAAGATCTCAACACTAATCCGTCCTGCTGCTCTGCAGCTGATCGCTGATGTAGTCGCCCATGTAATGAATCTCTTCGGTGACCCTGACATCAGCCCAAACCACTGATGATACAGATTATAACAATAATACATTTGTCTTTTTCTTCTTTTTATATGCACATCAGCACAGTAAAAATCTGTCAGTGAAAACTTCTGCACAGTTATGTATTTGTGTCTGTCAAACAAAACGTCGACTCTAAAATATCAAAAACACATGAGTACCAGTGGGAAAATAAACTTATATTTATGAATTCATTAACAGGGATTGACAGACATGAAACATTTACACAAATATCAGATGTCATACTTCTTAATTACAGGCTGCATAAAAGACAATGATTCAGAATATTTAACTCAAATTTTACAACAGTTCTCATTTGTGTCACACCAGTTTTTTATTATGAAGAATATTTGACTTTACATTCCTATGACTGTACAGTTAAATGGCAAAAGAACGGATCTATGTACAGCAGGAAATACACAACAGTTTCTGTTGTTGCAGTCAGAGCCATACAGACGAAGCTGATGTTTAATCACATACTCACTAAACTGCTGCTGTAAGCTGATGTCATCTATGACAGGAAGTGGTGTTTGCTCATTTCATAGCCATCAGAGGAGTTACACTGTCACTGTGAAGATTTACATTTTAAAGCGCATAGTGTGTAATATTCAAAAGCATTCAAAGAATTTAAAGAAGTTTGTGTGTACACTGACTGTAATATTCTGCACTGTTAAATTGTACAACACTGGAGACAGAAGATAAATGATGGATAAATGAGCACAAGATCTAACTGTTTATCCTTCTTTACAAAAATGTGTTTTGTCAGGCTTCACAAAACAGATCTCAAATAACCAAAGAAACCAAATGTTTGGAGAAATGTGTATAAAATGACACATGTTGACATTTATCTGAGTATTTCTGTTTGATAGCATGGTATAGTCTCAATAAGAGCATCACATGCCAGCAGTGACATGCTGGAACAAGCAGAAACAAAAAAAATGTTACAATTTGATTTAAAAGAAAAGAAAATTATGGTCAAATCAAAGTTAAAATCAAGAGTTTAAATGCAGCATGTTTGTTACTGGTGATTAAACGTTGCATCATCTACGTGTTACCTGCATGTACATGTTTCAAAGGTAGAATTGTCATTGTGGAAATTTATAAAAGATACTGCAGAGAGCAGCAGCAACAACAGTGGAAATTAGTGAGTAATCTGATTACATCTTACTGGTTGGTCAAATCTAAAATAAATCGTAAACTTTAGCTTTAAATCTTTTTTTTTTTCCCGCCTCTCAAAAGTCTCAAAAGATTTTTGAATCCCTCTTGTAGATTTGAGCATGAAGTTGTTTTGTGTGCAACGTTCAAGCACCTAGAGGAAGCTTCAAACACATTACATAGTTATGGTGGTAAAGACCGTAAATCATTTTTCAATTAAGAAAACATCAAATAAATGCATTTAAAAGAATGCGTCACCAGCCAAAGAGTCATTTACATATCAATTCAACACCGTGTTTAACCTTGAATTTGTGAATAAAGCTTTGTTTGCCTCCACAGTGAATGAAGAATCCAAAAAAAGCAAACATTCTTCATGTACTGAAGTAAACAGCGATTGAGTTTAACAACAGCAAAACTATATCAAAGCATCTGTTCACAAACTCATTAATCTACTCGTATGCTCAGTTCTTCCCAAACACACTATAAAACACCACAGGTGGCGCTCTCTGAGCACACGCGTGCATATGAGCTGTGCTTGAGGAGAGTTCAAACATCGGCCCAGGCATGAGACTGTTTGTACTGACGGGTTTTAAATCATAATGTTTTGCTGGAAATGCATGTGTTTGGAAAGCACTGATCCTAAGACGGGATAAATGAGACTTGGAATATACTGCACGAGTTGTGTGACAGTTTGTTCACAGATGTTTGTTAACAGTTAACATGACAAATGTTTGTCTTTTTGGATTCTCCATTCGCCATGAAGTGAGAAAAGCAAAGTTTTCTTAACAAATTGTTTGTAACATATGGTAACTGATATACAAGTGGTTATTTTGTGGGTCAAGTATTCCTTTAAGTCAGGCATGTCCAAAGTCTGGCCCGGGTGCCAATTGTGGCCCACGGCATGATTTTTAATGGTCTGTGGCTTGCTGTTAAAAATGTGGCCGGCCACGCAGTACTGGTTAATCAAACAAGATCTCTTTGCATTTTTTTGTCAGCAGTTTGTAGACATGCACCAAGTAGCACTTACACAGGCAGGACTGAGTTGTTTTCATTAACAGACAATAAAGAAGCAAACGTACAGCAGACATTTCCTGTGAGGCAGCAGACATGGCTACAGCTAACAGGTGTAAAGCCGTGTAAACTCTTTTTCACTGTTGAGTTTGTCTCATCTGTATGTGATGCAAGCAGCAGCTGGCCCCCAGGTATTTTGACATTATCTTATCTGGGCCTCATTCAAAAAAGTTTGGACACCCTGCTTGAAGTCCTACATATCTCTTGCAAGCTACCAAATGTAGGTGTCCCATATACTCATACATCTTATCAAATTATATTATTTCTGAAAATAGTTTTCTTTGCAGGTTTAATTGATACTGTAACTTCACACTGTGAGGCCTCAAATCCATCTGTTGTTTCCTCTCCGTGGCACAATGCCATCATGTTTTCAACGTCTTCATGTGTTTAACTGTACACAGGAACTTTGGGTGGAGATAAATGCTGAATGTGCACAGGAAGATCGTGAATCTCACTGAACTGCAGAGACTCTTAAAAAAGACTTTACAACTGAGAATTAACTGATGACATGCAAGATATGAGAAAAGATGCTGTTCACAAATCTCCATGAAATGAAAACAGAAATTGTAGATAATCTTTATAGATGTCACAGACACTGACACACGATGTGTGAAACTGTGTAACTCCCCTCAGGTGAGTCTTTGCACAAACTCTGTAAATGGCTCTGGCTGCATTTTAAGGTAGCACCACCCTGTTGACAGCAGGGGGCGACACAAGCTTACAAAAAATAAGAGGTGAAGCTAAACATTACATTTTACATAGCCCTCCTGTCCCATGCCTGTCTCATATCAGGCCTACAGTACTGTTGTCAGGGTTGGTAAGGTTCCTTTTTCATTTCTTAAGTGGTTCATATACATTCTGGAGAAAAATAATGTGTACAAGAACGTCTTCATCCAAACAGTACCATCATTTAAAGAGTTCATTCCTCAACCTTTTCATTGTTCAGATCATATTTTGCAAATGGATCTCTGTAACCTGCTTATTTACCCCCAAAAAACAGAACTCAAAAAGCAATCCACAAAATGCATCATTTGGTTTCTTTGAGATTCCTCAAAACACAGCGTCATTTAAAGGCAGATGAAGTGTTTGCATACATGATCACACATCATTTCTCAAGTCCCACTAGTTTTGATTCTAAAAACTTTTTCTCTCCAGTTTTTGTGACGGACGATCACCTGTCATCCCCTGACGTGCATCCTGCTCCCCTCCAACCCTGACTGTTCGCATGATGTTGATTTGATTGACAGCATGCAAATCAGTGACACCGTGTTGAACTGTATTTTCTCCACACAGCAGATGTTCCACCTTTCAGAGGCGCTCCTCGGTTCAGACGGAGTCCAGTGAAGGTCATGACTGTTTGCAGCAACCCGGCTCCGCTCGCTGCCTCATAATTGGATTTTTTACCATCGTGAAAAAAGGGCTGACATTTTAATTGCAGTCTTAACTTGGAAAACAGATTTCACGGCCAGTTCTTCAGACACAGTTCTTCTGATGAAAGTTACCGCTTAACGAGCTGTTGTTTTTCTTAATGCAGTTATTGTCCTGTATGTCGACCATTATCATTACCTACTGCAGCAGCACTGCCCCTTTCTATTAACTTTAATGACTCTCTCTCTCTCTCTCTCTCACTCACTCACACACACACACACACACACACACACACACACACTCTGTGCTCTCAGAGCCATAAAAACTGCACTAGGCAAATTCTGCAAAAATACAAACAGTCCAGCTGTGACAAAAACCACTGGTGCTGGCAGGAGATAGTCTCCGCCCACAGGAAGTGATGACTTTACAGTGACACCCAATCAGCTCTTCGTCTCACACATGTTCTTCTGTTTTCACAGGATATACACAGGTCTTTCAAAATAAATGTACTACGTAGGTACAACAGCGTGAATTGACATTGTTTTTCTCCAAATAACGCACACAGTCAGGTTTAGGCAAAACGAACAGGGTTTGGTTTTATAAACTTAAAGGACATGAACATCACTTCCTGGGTGAAAGTCAGTGGTTGTTTGACCCATCCACTCAGACTTTCTGCGCCTTAGCTTTCATTCATGTTTTGCTGTGTTTCCCCCTGACACCGCCGTACGCCATTAAACTATAACGGCGACCAGCTGCACACCCTGTCGATGTTTAGGGACAGCTTTTTTCGTCATTGTCTGATGCTGCAAGTCAGTCCCCAAGCGCCAGATTTCAACAGGAGAGAGACTGGGTTGTTAATGGCCATGTGTCCCACATTTTGTTGATTAACTTTTCCAACAAATGTTTAAATTTTTTTGTAAGTATTCATGAATAAATGAATGTTCTGATTCAAAGTTTCTAAAATCGACAGTTGTTCTTTTAGCCTGCTTGAGTCTATTTTAGATTTGACTGTATTATGTGAGGTTATATTTGTTCAAAAACCATTGTTATCATAAATTAATATTTATCACATTACGAACAAACGAAAAAAAGTCTGCAGAATTCTGCATTTTGGATCACCGCTGAACACAATTCAAAAATCTACAGATTCAGATTGAGCCTGACAATCACATGATAGATACATAAAATTTAAACTATTCAATAAACAAAATAATAAAAATGTAATTAATATCAATAAAATTGATGTGATGCAACATTGTACGACTTTTTTTAATATCAGTAAAGTGCTTCGATACAGCTAAAAAACAAAACCATCCTCTTGTTAAAAAATAAAAGCTCCACATCTGACCTTCATGTTGCTCTGCTCTCAGTTTAGCTGCTACTGTTGAAGTGCTCAGTCTTTTGATCGACTGCAGGACCCAGCAGTAACACTGTCCACCCAACATAAAAAAATTAAGTAATCTTGCTTACAATTGATTGGATTTCTTAATTCATAAGGAGAGCAGGGAACTGTTTTTCTCTCTGTGAATTTAATCTGATTTCCATACATGTAATTTTACTTTGTAACACTTGAAAAACAAAAGTTTTATTAGTTATGTGCATCCTGGGCCATTTTAATGCATTTGACAGAAAAGATGTGAGTGACCACAGAAACATCAGACGCTATGACTCGCAACTCTGTCACTCGCAACGTCGTGGTCAAACTAGCTGATGTTAAAGTCTGAGAGAGAGTGCAGGGCGAAGTTTTGCAGATGAGCCTGATAAGCTGGGTGTATATACTGCTCAGAAATTTTTCCACCCATTGTGTGTGTGTGCAGGAGGAGAGAAGCAAGGAGCCTGTAAATGACACAATGACAAATCAGAATAGTATTTTCCTTGTCTAATCATCTTAGGTGCTACGAAACACTTATCAAGGTAGGGAAAACCCTGTTTTTTACAAACTGCATCCACAGTTTGGCAAATTCCATAATTTTCTGCGTTTTACAGCTGATTTAACTTTTTATTGTCATATTCTATGATTACATCCGTGTTTTTCGCATCGCGGAAATCATAGGGTCGTACTACCTATTGCTATCATGTGCAAACAGTATTGCCTAGTGCAGCTTTAACCAAACCATACACATATTAAATCTGCATCACATACACTGAGAGTTAGAATTCAAACCCAGATTTTTCCAATCGTGTCTTTCCACCACAGTCTGTTCTCACTCAGTAAGACTCTGCAAACATCTGCGACAGGTTTCATGTGTCGTACATTCAGGCCGGTCTACATTCCAACATCTTCTTGAAAGCTTTCCTGAAGCTGTCGTCCAGGAAGGCGTAGAGGAACGGGTTGAGGCAGGAGTTGGCGTAGCTCAAGCTGGTTATGAAGTAGGAGATCCCGATGAGGAGCGGCGTGGTCCTCAGGTCGGTCGTCAGAGCCACTATGGTGCTGAGGTGGAACGGCGTCCAGCAGAACAAGCAGACGGCCAAGACGATAAACACCATGATGGTGACTTTCTTCTTGGCCTTGTCCAGCGCCTTGGCGTTGCTGTTGAGCCGCATGTTCCTCAGCTTGTAGAGCATCATGGTGTATAAGATACAGATGGTTGAGACCGGAATGGCGAAGCCCAGGATGAGCGTTTAGATCCGGCTCGCTTTGAACCACAAACTCTCAGGGCTGGGGAAGCTGAGCACGCAGCTCTTCCTCCCATCATTGGGGTCTGTGTAGACGCCAGCGAAAACAGTGAAAGGCATGACGATGAGGATGACGAGGATCCAGACACATAATGAGATGATTTTGGCTGCACGGTAGGTGCGGTAAGGCATGCGCTTGGACCTCACCGTGGCCCAAACGACCAGGTAGCGGTCAATGCTCATAACTGTCAGGAAATAGATACTGGAGAAGATGTTGTAGTGGTCTATGCTGAGGATGACTTTGCACAAAACCTCACCAAAAGGCCAGTAGTGCAGCAAGTGTTCGGCAATGTTGATCGGCAACACCAAAGTGAACAAATCATCGGCAATGGCCAAGTTCAGGATGAACATATTGGTGACTGTTTTCATCTTGGGGGCTTTGAGGATTACATAGATGACAGCTGTGTTGCCTGTCAGCCCCACTGCGCAGATCACAGAGTAGATGACCGGTAAAATGACATAAAGGTCAGCGTAGAAGTAAAACTCAAAGGGAGGAGTACAGTTCAGGTCAGTGCGGTTTCCTGAGTAGAAGTCCACAGAGTCGTTGCAGACTGGCAGTGCACCAACGGGCACTGACGTATTCTCCATGTTTGAAGAGACTCTAAGAGTCTCTGAGCATTTTGAGACAAATATACACTGATTTCAAATAATTAAATATCAGTTTTTAAGAACAACATCACTGTCTTTGTTTTCCGTTTTGGACATCTTCCCACACAGGCTACACCAGTCATTTGTCAGTGAGCCTTAAAAGTTAGTAATGCACAGTTCAGCAAACAAGCTCAGCCTCTGACCACTCACAGACAACAGAAAAAAGCCCAGTCTTTAGAGCAGCAGCTCTCAATCTGAGGTCCAGGGACCACCAGCAAGTCACTGAGAAGATAACAGCGGGCACTCTTGTTAATTTAGAGTCATTAGTTTCACTTCTGTTTCAGTTTCTGTGATGTTACAAAAAGCAACTGTTCTCATGCGCTCTTACCTCCCCGATTTACACTGGACAGACACTTACAGAGTGACGCAAGGAAGTCAAATGCTTAAATAATAATCCTGTCAGATGGAGTTTCTCCGGAGAAAATGTCACCTTAGGAGAGTTCGTCGGTGCAACAACGTGGATCTGTTTGGCTTCCCCGTGAAAACGCGCCAGACGCTCCGCTTCATGCTCACTGAATGAGCGCTCCACTCTCAGCTTTGTGTCGCAGCTTTCCAGCTCTTCACAAACATTTGACCGTTTGTGTATCTCCACTCGGATCCATCCCGTCACTTTGCTGTTCTTATGTCGGGCTCCAAATCACTTCCAGTCTGCCGGTGTTGAATTTATCCTCACCAAAGATATCCTCCCTCCTCCTCCCCTGATTCTCTCCTCCCCCGGTTGCAGATTATTTAAATAAGTTTTATAGGCCGAACGTGCCCAAGATAAGGTTAACGATGGTTATTTATGGTCTCGGGTGGTGATGTTTTCTTTCCGTGCTTCATGTGCGCTCCGGAGACCGCGCCAAGGATTTACGCACGAGTGGCGCATCCCTAGACCTGGACAACAGAGAGATGTGGACATCAATTAGTTGCCTTGCACACATTTGAAACATCACAGGAGACTGAGTGAATGTACTTCAGCAGACAACAGGGGCAGCTTTTACTGTCAGCAGACTGGAGTCGATGAAGAGACACCATATGTCCAGGTGTCAGCGCTCGACAGGCAGAACTAGATCAGACTACGTATTTTTTAATCTTTCTATATGACATGTATCATGAACACATAAATTAACTAAGCCTGTAAGAGCAAATTAGAATGATTTAGCCACACATCATAAATTCTTCTTGTCGGGAAAGTTGGTTAACTCACTTTTATTTCACAACATTTTAAAGGTAAAAAGCGCGTATTAAAACATTAGAAACACTGAAACATAAACAGTGAATGACAAATCAAAATGTATTATAATAAAGAATGTGGCAGATATTAAAGTGCACAAAGAGTTTAGGCAGGTTTACCCTTCTCCGTGTCCCCGGTAAAGTCACTGTCCTCCGGTCTTACCTCTGAGGGAGACGCGTTGCTCTCCAGCCTCTGCTCCGCTCCGTCTCTCCCTCTGTCTCTCTCCTAGAAGGCTGTGACACCGACTGACGTCACTTCGAGATCCCCGTGTCACTGGATTGGTCTGTGAGGTAAAAACAAAAAAAGAAAGTTTTTTGCCAACATTGCCATAGGAGAAAATATCTTCTACATATGGGATGTTGCCTTTTATGTATGAAATATAATCTCCTGTGTACCGGATGTTATCTCGTACAACGGAGATGTATCTCTGTGTTTGAGATGTTATCTCTTACATTAAAGACACAGTCCCATACTACTGGCTGAATAAGGCTGTTCTGAGAGTGAGAAAGTTGTGCAGAATGAAACGCTCAGTGCACGATACAAAGAGCATAAAAAGTCCAACCAAATGCAGCATAATGTTGTCTTTTACTGCTCAGCTAATGAACTCTAAATGTCCACTGTAATGTGGATGTGTTGCTCTGTGACCATTTAAGAGAGACGCTGTGTGCATTTTGCACAAAGGTGTGCGTTTGAAAACAGCAACAGCTCTGACAGATGAGAGTATAACATCTCTGTGAAGTTTAAATTCCTTCCTGTAGTTTCTAAAAATGCCTCTGCACCTTATCGATCTAGACCTGTAGCTTTATTTTTCTTTTACTCTCCATCATTCTGTAGAGTGTGTTGCCAGTGCAAAGAAAACATTATACTTTGCCACATGGATAACTGCAAATATGTGCTAGTCCATAGCCATTGAGTGCACAGTTGCCAGTTTCACATGGTGTGTGTTTGGGATACAGGTCATAGGAAATTGCAGATTAAATAGTCAACTGAACCCATTAAGAAGAGCAATGTATTCAGACAGAGCTTTGGTGGATTTGATAGTACGATTGCTTTATTGAAAGTACAGTAGTACCATTGCCAGTAGTGGGATAGTTAGTGGGCTAAAACTGTACATTAGTAGTTGAGGTAGCACGTTGAAAGGCAGATAGTTAAAGTGTTTATATGTTGTATTGACTTAAAGGTGGGGCGCACTGGTAGTTCACATGGGAAAGGTGCGGCTAGCCCTTGTTGCAGCAGCATACCATACCATGACTTAGTCATAGCAAAAATTAGAAAAAACAAAACAAAACATTGGTCCACAGGCGGAGCCACAGCGATCGGTCACATTTTAGCCATTTTGAAGCATTTTTCTGTTGTTATAGCGCCACCCAGTTGCCAATTAGAGTTAAATTTCTCCAGTCACCTTGAGGCGTCCTGTTCTACATATCTACCAAGTTTAGTAAAAATCCATATGGCGGTTAGGCCTAGATAAGAAATGAGCTCTCTAGCGCCCCCATTTTGTTTGATGGGGTCAATAATGGAGGGGTCCCCTCAGATTATGTGTGGTCATATGCCTACAAAGTTGCGTGGTGATGGGTGAAACCCTTGAGATGTTATACACCTTTATGTGATGAGCCACGCCCTCCGCAATATTCATTGCCTTATAGAAGCTCAGTTTTAGTAAGTTTTCCAACTTTTGCCAAGAGGGAACTTTAGATATTGGTCCCTAGATTATGTTCACCCAGTTTCATGCAGATCGCTCAAACTTCCTAGGAAGAGATCCATTTGAAGTGTTTTTCAAAAA